CAGCATTATCATTTTAGTCAAGGTAAACTCTTTACCTTTTTAAGTTTCTGATACCTTTCTTCTGGAGTGTCAAAACCATTGGTTAAAGCACTAACAGAAGGCCCATCGCTGATCCCTGAAAAAGTAGAACATATTTTGCTTTGGGAAAGCGTTTCAAAATTAGCCACAGCAAAGAAATCCAACAACTGGTAATTTAAGAAAAATGTTTTCACTTAAAGTACATGCTAAAATTATTTCAGTTGAGAAAGATTTTCTACTGCATGAAAGTATGCGCCTTAGTGTAAAAGCCACCCACTTTAATGGTAGTGTTCTAGCAGTAAAGCGCTGCTGCAAAAGCTCTGCTGCTCTGGTTCCTATTCTACGTGATAGTAACATGAAAATATCTACCATTAATGTAATGTTGATGGGTCTTTACAACACAACACAGAATCAAAATCAAACTAAAAATGGGAAGAGTGCTGTTCATAGATTTATTGAATTACTTAGTTACCTTAAGCAATATATAACAACCATATTTCCATAAGCACCATAACAAAGGTTAATCTTGATCACCTGAACTCCATATTCCAAAGCTATACAAACGTAAAAGTTCTTACTGCTGTCTTTCCCCATCCAAACCCTTATTTACCCCAATTTCTTGCTTTCATGACACATATAAAAATCTTTTTTTCCTGAGCTACAGCTGAAAATCAATTAACATGTTAAAATATTACTGTGTGGAAAGAGTAGAAACAGCATGAGTATGACATATATCTTTCCTTGGCCAAAACCTTGCTATCACACATATAATAAGTGGCTTAATCATTTTGTGGTAGCCTTAGCTTTAGCTTTTCCAAGCCAACACTGAGATACATTACGTGAGCAAACTCGGGCACCTGAGACCCCACACAGATATTGCCAATAGTGCACAATCACAGAACAGATGCAACTGTACCTGAAAACTCCCCATCAATGGCCAGGAAGTCCGACTCTTCAATAGCTTCGTAAACTTTGTTTAGGTTATCCTTAAAATCTGCGGGTAAAGGCGTAAAACACACCTGAGACTACCAACGACTTCGTACCTCAGAAGCGGCC